AGCTCATATATGTATACATAATTAATTATTGGGAGTATGACTTTTAACTTTTTAAGTATTTAAATTCATCTAAAATAAAATAATAATATAATAATTTAATCAAATTCAAATAAGATAAAATATTAGTCACATAGATGCATGATCGCTGTAAAAAAAAGTAAATAATAAAATATCAACTACGTAACAGAGGAAAAAACCCTAGTACGAACAGGATATTACTATTTATTTTGTTATAGTCATTCATTTATATTAACTTATACTACCTATACTATATAATAATAATGTATGGGTTCAATAAATATTTTGAACTGTACTTCAGGTAGTTGCAACAGCGTGTTTCGATGCGATATCATAAGAATAATAAGTAGGTTGATCTTAACTCGGCGATTGTGAGGGGTGAACGTGAATTGTATATATTTTATGCCAGGTAAACGTACCTTTTTGAATGAATTGAGCCTGGGTTTTATTTCGTGTTACTTTTTCACCTACAGTTATTATTCATAAATGGTTCCCAAAGTAATATTGTCTAATACAATTTACTATTGACAGATAATTTGGAATTTTATATATTTTAAAATTAAATATAGGTACAATATTTACCTGATATCATGTAAGTCATATATATATTTGCGTATGAGTATACGACTAGGTATTAATTAAATGTAACAGTCAATTACAATTTATGAAATTGTTGCTGACACTAAGACGTAGGTAAGCATAATATTACAGTATAGTTACTTGAAATTTTATCCTGCTGCATCACACCTAAATAGTATATAATATTTGCATTATATATTATTTATAAATTTTTTTTTTGCCTATATTAACTAATTTTGTTTAAATACAGAATAAATTTCCCAGTATTTTTATATATTTTATAAATTATAGGTATATATTATTTTTGATCATTGTCTACTTGAAACAATTAAAATAATAAGTAATGTTTAAAACAAGAAGTTGTTGTAATACACAATATATATTTGACACAGTAAAAAAACACGATTAAAAAAAATTAAGCAAATACATAAATTAAAATAAATTTAATAGCTAAAAGATTTTCTAAATAAAATATAGTTAATAAATAATAAAAATATTTGGATTTTTGTCTTCAAAAGGTGTATACAATATAGACATAAGACAAAAAGAAAAAAATTTCATATTAAATAATAAATAGGTAATATAATATTATTAAATAATATATTTTTAAAAAAAGGTACTGTGAGAAAATGTCCTGATAAAAATATTTCCATTAACCAGTTACTTATTGATTGTGAAGCCCATATAGGCGCAAATAGGGTGGGGCTTGGGGGGGACTAAGCACCCCCTGATTCCATCTAAGCCCCCCCCCCCGAATATTTACTCTAATATTAAAATGTAATGCTTCTATTAATAATCAAATGTTGTTTTCGACTGCTCCCTTTGACTGTAAATGTGTATAATATGGTCAATGTATATTTTTTTACATTTTAATTATAGTCGGTAAAAATGTCGCGCGTTATAATAAGGCCCATGTGTTCCTAGCCTAAAAGTCTAAGACTTATAAATAGGCAAGTTATAAATAAATGGTAGGATATTATGATATTATATAATATGTGTACGAGTATATACAGGTAAACTGGTAAACAGCGAGTTTCCTAGCGATTATCAAGCATATTGCCGATATAACGTCATAGCCTCATAGCTTATTTTATTATTATTTATTAGTTCATGATTATTATAATAGTCAGTATCAGTGACCAGTGTTAATGTTAATAATTAAAAACAAATCTTTCCAAATTATTATAAACTATTTAATGTAGCTATAACGTTGCCGATCAATTTCGCTACTTGCGAAAGGTCATTTTCCGCCATGAGGAAATTGAAAACATGGATGAGATCAACAATGCTCCAAGAAAATTCAGTAGTTTAGGGTTAATTAATATTGAAAAGGATATTAATGTAAACACGGTATAAGTATTAAATGACTGTGCCAAATCCAACAGGAGAATAAATTTAATACTGTAGTTACCTATTATGTAGTTAACAATAAATATATGTGCATTAAGTAATAATTTTATGCTAGAAGCTAATAAAAAAAAGTAATATTTTTATTTGATGTGGAGGGGGTGTGGAGAATTTTTGTTGAATATATTAAAGCAGGGCTTGGGCCCTGTAACTTGTAAAAATGTAATTCCCTATTTGCGCCTATAACGTAATAACCACTAAAAATAGTATTTTTAATAATTCAACTTGGAATGTAATTCGTGCTACCTTTATTTAAAAAAAACACTACTTAAAAAAATGCAGTATTTTTTATTTAGAAGAATTTACGGTTCTAAGAATAATGGTATAGGTTTAACCATTTCAGAAATCGGTTTTTCTATGTTATTCAATGAGTCACGAGGAATTGAAATAAGACGCGTCACGTCATTCGGTCGAGCTTGCGGTAATCGCCTATCTTATACAAGTACATTTAATGTTACTCGCTTCACTCCATAAATTATCTACCTATATATTTTTCTATATTTTCTAATCGTTGTTGTAAGAATGTGGTGTACTACAAAGTTAGTGGTACCAGAATTTATCTTAAGTGCTTAGTTTCAAGGCCGGTTACTGAAAATTAATTTGGGGGGGGGGGTTAGGTTATTTATTTTACTACCACATAATGTAACACGAAAAAAATCGGTTGGGGGTTGACCCCCCCCAGATACGGCCTTGCTTAGTTTTTTGTAATATTTAAAATGTATAGGTATCAAACTAACAACAATATATACATAACAAAAATCTCTTAGTCCTTTTAATGTAAAAAAAATATTATTTAAAATTACGTCATATAAAATATTGTTTTAACACAAAAAATCACATGTTTTTACATAAATCAAACATCAACAATAAAATGTTTAGGTTAGTTAATCGTTAAGTAAAACGAGTAAATATTACTCGTAATAAGTCGATAAGTCGTAATAATAGTCGATTATACCGCCCCAATGACGTCGCGGTTATTCTATAATGTATTCCAGTATCTCCTTAAAAAAATACTTTTTGTAGATTGGAGAGTCATTAAATTTTTGACAAAACCGTTCTTAGTAGAGTAGTTCTGATTGCAATGATTTTGTAATTAATAATAGTTTGAAGAAATTTTTTTTGTATGTTGTGTGCTTTTTTAAGATGTGATTGGATGCTAGGTATTTGAGGGACTTGTACGCAATTCTTGTGCACCGGTACGAGGACGTTGTACCCTCTGTGGTTGTTAAAATATTCATACTAAAAAATGTTTATAGTTCACTTTAAAATTACAATATTGAAAAAACCAACTAAAGGACAAATATACCTAATGTTTTTACAAAAATCCAATAATATTTTAACTATAACTACAAAAATTGAAACATCTAATCGCGTGTGTCTGCGATAGTAAGTCGGAGACCACTCATGGGATTACGTTTTCTTAAATTACATGGATATTTTATCAAAATATAATATGGACAACATTGCTTGAAAAAACCAAAACACATAAATAATAATAAAAACGTGAGCGACATTCATTTAGGTAGCTAGGGTTAGGTAAGGTTAGCAAGGTAATTAGCAAGGTACTTGTTAGAAATCAGAGTTTTAAAATATTGATAATATTGAAGTAAAAAAAATAAATTATAAAATGTAATTTACAACTATAACTAGTAAATTGCGTTGCAAATTCAAATATGTTTTCAGAAATTTTATGAAACGTGTTGTGCTTGGTGCTGGGAGCTGACCAGCCAGTCTTGTATTATTCTCTTTACCGGCGCCAGCTAACAAGTTCTTTAGAATCGTGCTATCGCTATGATCACAGTATTTTTTAGATACTCACATCCAGCTCAAATACTTCTTCACTTGACCTAAAAAGCTACGTCGTATTTCTTCACTTCTAGTTGATTGGCATTATTTTGATATTAAAAATCGGTCACTCTAAATTGGAGATCTACGATATTGGCCGGATGTGGAGGCCGGAGGGGACATTATTCAAATGAGAGACATTTTCGTTAACCAGTATAAAACATATCAGTAGTAGCCGGTAAATAAGTAATTCCGAAAACGTCTACCAACAGCGCTACAGCGCTTTGAGTGAGAGGGGTTGGTGATTGTGTATGTGTGTGTTTGTGAATGGTCTCGCCAGTCGGCGAGTCTCCTCTCTTCGTTTCGACGTCAGACGCTTTCGACCTTTTGTGGTTACGCTCGTTCACACTCCCGATATACGCGCCGAAATTCAACAGTATTTATTTGTCCGCCTTGCGCCCGAAAATACACACCGGTTAATCTTTGCATACGAGGTATTATGTTTTCTTTCCATATGGCTTGTTTATTATAGTTAAAGATAGTCTTACTTTTCCATTTTTTTTCTCTGTTTTTAATTTCACTTTTTGTGTGAAATTGATTGTTAATATTTAGTATTTTTTTGTCATCAATATGAGTTAAAAAGTGTGCGAATATTTGTATTTCCCTGTTTGATATTTTCTACTGCTGTTAATTTAAATTTCATATTTTAAATGGTTGAGTAATATTACTTTTATTAATATTACAAAATATACAAGGTGAGATACTAAGCATTATCTATAATTATTTACATACACATAAGCAATTTTAAAATATACCAATTATCTCAACTAGTAAGTTGATCCTATTTTTTGAAGTACAAAGCACAAAATTATATTATTATACCTAATTAAATTTACATTTTTGAACTGAAGTAATGTAAAAATAAGATGGATACTCAATATATATGTATTTACCTTTTTAATCACATATGGCTTATTATTTATATTTATTACATACACACTTCAGCTTATTAACCTTCTCATAAATATATATTTATTTATTCAAAAGAATTAAATTATATAACAAATTAACTTACTCTAGTTCAACTGCAGACTTGTCATATATTCATATGACCGAAGGAAGAAGAAAGGTTTAATATTGATTTATTTATAATTTATTATTGATCAAGAACACAGTTAATACATCAGAAATATTTGAGAGACTGCATCTATTATTTTTCATATAGTTTTAACTCACGCCTATTTAGGTTAGGCAGAAAGTACATTTATTTTTTAAATCCAGATTAATTTATATTTAAATTCTTCTTTTCAGATGGCTACGCTGTTGGATAGATTCAGTACGTATGATGATGGATGGTGTGTCCCGTTTTTAAAACCCATTGAAATGGCCAAAGCTGGGTTTTCATACTTTGGCACTAAGGATCAAGTGAAATGTTATTTTTGCTCGCAAGTCCTGGATAGTTGGCAAGAAGGAGATGATCCATTAGATGAACATAGGCTTCACTCTCCGCAATGTCTATTTGTTTGTGCAACCAAAAGTAAATGTCAAATAAAATAAATATTTAACATACTACTATTGATAGTACCATAATAATTTATACATTATACATGTTAAAAATTAGTAGTTAAATGTAGTATTTATTATGGTTTAGGTATTCAGTTGTAATGGTAGATCATTACAATTATCTATTCATTTTTCAAAACATGTACCTACACATAGAGGTACAACACATGCTTTACACTGTTTGTTCGGTAAAAAGGCATTTTAAAAATTGTTGATAAGAATATCAAATAATTTGTTTTTTTTTGTCATTGGTTGATCTGATATATCATATGATGTAAGACATAATGTCTTCACTTTCTCCACACTAAAGCAGTTAAGCAGTTGTTCAAATCTCTTTCCGGACATGAATTGCTTTGCAATAGGGTGGAAATACAAGATTATTTGAAAAAAAAATCTTGAACTGAAGGAAACTACAGTTCCTAATGAAAGACATGAACCTAAAAATTGTTTTATTTCCTCTATGTTTGTATTATTGAAATTAGACTTATGAGCATTTTTAGAATGCGGTCGATTTTTAATAATGTGTTATTTTTGCCATTGTGATTTGTTGACTCGATAATAATATCAAATATTTCTTTGCTCCAAAGTGATTCAAAAATGTCAACGAGATTATTACAAGCTGTTTCTTGCATATTAATTTTAATTTCTGAACGAGAAGCATCAAAAGAAAAATCCAGTATATTTTCTAAAACATCACATCACGAGCCTGTGTCAGATAGATCTTCACTGTAATCATCACTGGAAGTTAACTCGACTGAATTATCGTTATCTGATAGATTGATGCATATTTTATTTTGAATTGTTCATCAACAATGATAAATAAAATATTATGCACATTAATTAAGTAAAAAAACGTCTATTGGGTGGAGGGGATATAAACACCCTAACCCTCCATGTCTATGCTACTGGATGTTTCCCATCTATTATGATGCTTATGTTAAAGAATTCTAAATAAAACATTTTAAAAAAGGAATAATACTATATTAATATGACTAGTGAAAATTGAAAATAAAATTATTATTTATTTGTGTGATATGTTTTTATTTTAACTTTATAATGATATGTTGAAATTTAGGACATTTCAATATTTTTATGATTAAAAAATACTTAGATCTTACAATAAAAATTATAGTTCCATACTTTTGTAGATTGCTTGAAATAATCAAATATTCTAAATGTATTATTTTAGGTGATGACATACAAGTAATTACTCTTGAGGATCGTTTAAGAACTTTTGTTGATAAATGGTCGTTAGAGTTCTTAAAACCTATCCAAATGGCCAAAGCCGGGTTTGCATACTTAGGATTTCAAGATCGTGTGAAATGTTTGTCATGTTGGAATGACTTTGAAAATTGGGATCACCGTGATGATCCGTTAGCTAAACATATATTTCAGTCTCCACAGTGTCCATTTGTTCTTGAACCCACAAGTAAATATCAAATAAATATAATATTTTTGTAATCATTGTGTTAAATAATAATCTACAAGAATAACAATAACAGAATAATATAATAAGAACTAATCCATTATTTAAAATTAATTGTAAGAATTAACAATTTTATTTTATTTTATGAGGTCTAATTTTTAATATTTCATTATTTCATTTTAGTTTTTGGAAAATATTTAGAATTTATGTTATATTATAATAATTGTATTACAAACTTTTATTTTTAAATGAGATAATGTAATACTTAAGTATTGCACTCATCTTAATTTTTTTGTATAGTGTATTATACCTCCAGAGTTAATAAAAAATAATTATTTTATGTTATGCATGTGTTAGGAATTATAGTACTTATTATAATTTAGTTCTTCAGGTGTAGTGATAGTCATTATAATGATCTTTATAAAATTATGAGTTGCTGATAAGAATATAAAAGTACTGTATGAAAGTTTCTTCTTTTGATGCATTAAACAAGTCAGATAGAAATTATATTTATAGTCACATATACAGTCAGGCACGTATACAGGGGGGTTCACCCCCCCCCCCCAAAATAGTTGTGTAATTCATTTATATCAATCATCGATAACTATAATAACTGGTGGGTGACAATTTGTTTATGGACCCCCTCCTCCCCAAATTTTTTTTGTGTACGTGCCTGTATACTGAAATACTACATTTCTGTATATATGATTAAAACTAAAAATATAATAAATTGAGCATTAAATCAATTTAGGTTTGTGTGAGAAAAAAAAAATATAGTACAGTTTTAAGGGTACTCAAATTTTGTTGCATATTAAAATTAACTTAGGTCTAGTAATAGAAAATTACTATATACCACTTTTCATATTGCTTTAAATAATTAAAAATAATAATTTTATTATTTTAGATGACCTTCAGGAGATAATGCTTAAAGATCGTTTGAAAACATTTGATGATGGTTGGAGTGTTAAGTTTTTAAAACCTGTCGATATGGCCAAAGCAGGATTCATTTACTTAGGCATTCAAGATCATGTAAAATGTTTGTCATGCACAGAAGACTTTCATGATTGGCAACAAAATGAAGATCCGTTAGTTAAACATCTAGTTCAGTCTCCCCAATGTCCATTTCTTCGTGAACCCAAAAGTAAATATCAAATAAATTTAATATTTTTATGATCTAGTACAGAATTTAAGTAACTGATTTTAAGATAGATATCTATGTGTTTAAGAGAACTCTATTCATCAATTACATCTTTTTTTTTTGGTTTTTATGTGAATTATTGGCATTTTAGAATAGAGAACTAATGCATTAATTAATTACATGATTTTTCAATATTAAACTAGATATTAGGATCAGATTTAATTTTTAATATTAATTTTTATATTTTTGTAAACATTATTTATAATTTATCAAGCTTCAGCATTTGTGTCATAATGTAACGTATTAATTATTAACTTTTTTTGAATATGAAAATATGTCTCCGAAGACGTTAGTTTATGCTCTATTATAATGCTTTGTTTCTATGAAAAAAGGAATAACTATTTTATGTTATATAATATTTTTAAATAGTAGATAGATGAGTAGATAGTGAAATGTTGTATTCATGATGATTTAGACATTCATAGGCTACAATTTGTCATTATAGTGATCTAATTGTTTTTTGAGATATGAGGAGTTATTTATACCTGTCTCATGAGAGAACATGTCAGATCTGCACATGTAGAATGAGGTCCGTCAATCGACTGGGCCGTCATATCATCTCCTTGCGTCCAAATCTCATTAATGATGACCAACCATAGTGCACAAACAAATGTAATCGGCTGCTGCCAACGTTGAGCGGCGTCGCTATGATTGTTGTCCACCTATTGAAAACTTGGTGGGAGATCTACAGAGCCAGCTAGTTTTTGTTTTCGCTCGGCACGTTCTATCGTTAGATAGAGTATAATTTGAATATTAATTTTCTGTCTGAAAGTTTTATCTTGTTAAAGCATTGACTAGTTAAATGGTCATAGATACTCAATACTAGATTTCTGTGTTGATTAGTGATTGTTATAAAAAACTCAAAAGTTTTTTTTTGAAATCATTTCCTTCATAGATTAAACGAATCAAAAACTCTGCTATAGATTTGAGCTTGATCAGTTTAACATACTAGCTATTATGATGCTAATTTTAAAGAAAACAGTGAGACAAATATAACATTTAAAAAGCAAAAATTAAGACCTCAATTTATATAAATCTGTTCGATAAGTTTTTATTTTATGATTAAAATATAATTAAGCTTAGTAGTTAAAATATATTATACCTTACTTTTTTAGATTGCTTTAAATAATTGAATATTTTATTTGTTTTATTTTAGTTAGTTATGATGTGTGTGGTCCTTATAGTAGTGAACCTTCTGGGGCATATATAGAGGCAAGCCAGATTCAAGACTGTTTAGATTCTGTAGGCATTATACAAAAATTAGAGCCACTTACATATCCAGAATTTAATAACCTCGATGCACGCTTGAAATCATTTGATAAATGTTTGGTAACATTGGTGCAAGATATTAATACACTATGCGAAGCTGGATTTTTTTATAAAGGTAAAATTATAGATATAAAAATATTAATTTACCTTTTATATCATTGTATTATTATGTTTTTAGGAAATGGTACAGATGATATAATGTCGTGTTTCTACTGTAATCTAGTGCTGTATAACTGGGATAATAAAGATGAACCGTGGACAGAACATGCCAGATATTCAAAGAATTGTAGTTATTTGCTATTAAAAACAAGCAAAATCTTTGTTGATAAAGTACACGGTGTGGAAAGTGATATTACAAAATCCAATATAATAGTAATTTAATAATTCTCAATTCCTTTAGAAGCAATAATGGAAATTTACCTTTTACTTTATTTGTAGAAATTAGTCAAGTTGATTGCTAAATATGGAGATACTTATATTGTTGGAACTAGTATGAAAATAAAGTCGACAAAAAAGTATGTTTAATTTATTCAGTATAACTATTTAATAAGAAAATTCTTACTTTAAATTAATTATTTTTAGTGATTTGTTTAATAAACTGATAATTAGATTTATGAATTTATTTTAAGCCGATGAAAAATAAGATTATATTTAATTTCTTGGTATATCACATAGTTTTTCGTTTTATGATTAAATCAGGATTCTTATTGTTAATTAAATATTAATAGAGGCACTATACCTAGAAATTCATACTTTTTGCACTGTAAAAGCTTCTATCTCTTTCTATAGATACTGGTACTTGGAAAGGTATAGCAAAGTATGGAGGAATATGTATAACAAAATGTCTATAGAAGATACACTTCTAAATAAGAATAATTATATATACTCTTTTTAACTTAAGAAACTTGGTTGGCAGAGACCAGTTTTCTTCGGGCCCCTGCCAAGCAACACCTGTTTCTCACCAGTCAATTAAATGTATACCTGCCGTGTAGTATTGCAACGCCCCTGTGCACAAGTTGGCCACTGATTAAATTTCTTAACTTGAACAGAGTATAGTAATTGCTAACATTTGTTTAAACTGCAGTTTATTGAATATTTATAAACTATGCTAAGATAAATATCAATGGCTGAAGTCCTACTTTTCACTTACCATTGAAAAGTGTTTCATTTTGTATGTGCTACTTGATTATGCCAGATAGCACTACCTTATGTGTTCAATGGTCCCTAATTAGTTTGACATTTGAATGCACCACAAAAAGATGCCTTCAAACTTTTTTTTTATTTAATAATATTTTATAAATAATGTATCATTAAATGTTTTTTCATTTTTTATTTAACATTGTTATTTTGCTTTTTTTAGAATACTTGATTTGTTACAAAATACTGACTTGAGTGAAATTAAAATATCATTTGATGAAAACCAACATCTTTCTCGAGCTCAAAATCCTAATACAATACCAGATTATATGTTATGCAAGATTTGCTATAAGGAAGAAATCGCAGTGGCTTTTGTTACTTGTGGTCACACCATTGCCTGCATTCAATGTGCTTTAACAATTGTACAGTGTGCTGTTTGTAGACACCCATTCAACAAGGCAATGAGAGTATACTTATCCACAGATAAAGATCCCAAACTAGTACCCGAAAGTTCATCAAAAGGTTCTGACAACAAATTGGACTCGACACTTTGCAAAGTTTGTCATAAAGAAGACAAGGTAACGGTATTTATACCTTGTAGACATGTATATGCGTGTGCCAAATGTGCAGAAGAAATGGACGAGTGCCCTGTATGTACAGAAAATGTCTGTTCTTTTATTCAATTACACATGTAGGATATAAGTAGTACACTTATGATATGTTCTCTAGACAATTAAAAACAAATATCAAATTATTTAACAACTAAACTTCTTGTGATGGTTCTAGTCAATCGGAAAAATATTATTTTTATCCCATTCGCGGTGACAAAATAATGGTAGTGAATTTTCCGATTTTAATTCTGTAAAAGCTTCAAAGTTGCCAAAGGTTAATTTAAATTTATACACACTAACAAGTTATATCGCACTATGTATAATGAATTTACTATACAACCCTCCTTATAATATGAATGACTAGAACCACCTTAATTGCTTTTAGAGAAATGCTCATATTTAATGCATAATCAATAATTTTATATAACTTTTTTTTAGTTTTTATTCAATTTATGTACTACTGTACTTACTTTAAAAAATGTTGTTTGTGACTAAAATAATTTGATACTAGCTTCCTCTGTAGGTTATTGTATAATAATTCATAATTGTCAAAAAAAATATTCACAATTATTTTTATAAGCTCTTGTATTTCAAAAGTTAATAAAATATGTCAAAATAAAAAACTATTTTTTTAAAGCTATTTAATTTTTATACTTAAGTTTCTTAATTTAATTCAACGTTTCTTATAAGTTTTAATTTTTAATGTTGACAAACCTCCTCAAAATCTACAAAGGGTGAAATGTACTTTTAAATTTGTATTATGAATTTCAATTCATTAGAACAGTGGTCAGAAACACTCGAGCTGTATCCGGGCCTCATATCTATTTTTTTGCCTGCAAGTTAAAGGTAAAATTTGTTTTCATCGGTCGGTATAATTTTCCATATATTTGATGGAATAAAACTGTTAATAATATGTGAATTACTATTTTCTTAGATTTTTTTTTTAATAATTCAAAATTATTTCAAAAAATTTAAACTCTCTGCCTATTTTTTTAAAAGAAGTCTAATAGAAACCATTGTTAATTATTAGGGCTGAGGACTTCTAGTACTTAAAAATCTAATAATATGCACTTAAAATATGCACTAAAAAATTATATTTGGAAGTAGTGACACTTGACACTCGCACACTCCCTTCCCTCAAGATTTTCATGTCCTGTAATATTGTACTCATCATATTTACTTATTATATAAATTGTATTTAGATTGTTAATTTTCTTAAATAGTAAAAAAAAAATTATGTAAACACGTGACCAGGGCCATTAAGTTCGAGCGTTCCTACAATGACATTTGCGATGTAACGACCTGCGGAATCTGTCGTCTCGTCGATCGAAACCCAGATTTTTTTACCAAATACAAAACTTCTAATTTTCACTAAAGTGTCTTCATAAATGACATTCACATAGCCTTTACGAAGTGTAGTTTAATTTGGAATTTCTTTCGAAGTATATTTTTCCAAAAATGACTTAAAATTATGATTATTTAATTTATTTAATGGAATGTTAGCCGATTACAAAGCATAACATAAATTTTTATTAAAAGAAGACTTTTTTGTGTTACTTAAAAGTTGTTGAGTTTTTTGTAAATCAAATTTATTTTTACTTTGTTTTCGTTTAATAGCTGCCTTATGTTTATCTGTGCCAATGTGTTGTTTTACGTTGAATTTTCTATCACTTCCAACTTTTGAATCGCACAATTTACAATGCAATATATTGCCGTCAGTTGTAAAAACTGTACCACTACATTCACAATATTCCGACACATAACTATTTAAACGAGAAGCCAATGATTGTTTTTCCTTTGGCATATTTGATAAAAATAAATAAATATTACTAAAAAAAATTGAATTAGACAAAATAATTACTAGACGACAATTTTTCACGCAGTGTGCACACTAAAACGAGTACGCGACGAAATATGACGGATATCTGAAGTTCACTAGCTATACGCGTTTCGGTTTTATCGATTTTATCGGTCAGATAGTAAATTACCTAACCGATACTAAATATATTATTTTGAAATGGAAAATTTACCACTTTGTTCTTTTTTGTCTAAGCTAATTTAAGAACTTATTTCGAAAATTGCCAAATATGTTCTTAATTTTTCTGATATACTCAAATATGCATTTATATGCAATAATGACAAAATATGAAAAAATATGCAAAATACAATTTTTAATTTGATCTTCTGGTGTTATACACATTTGTTATTCACTAGAATTTTTCTACGATCTTTCTATAAAAATATGTAAAAACTAGAAGTCCTCAGCCCTATTAATTATACTATTTTAGGTTCAAAAACTTCTATACCATTATGAAGTGTGCCATTCAATTTTCGATCAATAATTATTTTGTGAGGTTTAATTAAAAATCCCATACTTTCCAAAATGTTTGAGTTAATTTACTATTGCCCCGTAAATAACACATAGGTATTGCATACAATACTAATTATACATATTTTAATTCACACTATTTAAAAAAATTATATTTAATTAATTATTTTAAGCACACTTAATGAAAATGAAATGTTATCAAGAAAAATTAATTTGAGAAACCAATACATTGTTTCATTGGTGTTTACTTGTGCTTCTATTAGACAATTTGTATCCAAGTTGCTAAAAGTATTTCTTACCCTTTTTATTGTACAAAATTTGAACAGTATTAACTGATGATAACAAAAATTGAATTAACTGTAATGCAGCTAAATCATTATTAAAATTTAAATGAAAGGGGTCTATGATTGACTGTATCAGGGTATTTACATTTATTTCCCTGTATACATGTAATAAACAAAGACCTGTAGGCTGTAAGCCTAGCTTCACCCAAGCTTCTTTCCGCCAATGTTACTCAAACATTCATTTTAGACAATATTTGTAAAAAAATTTGAATTTTGGGAAAACATCAGTATCACAACAAGAAAAGTCTTCAATAGCATTATCGATATTAACTTATAGGAGCATAAAAGGAGGTAAACCCCGTGTATTTACTCTTAGCAATTAAAGGCATTTAATTTGTTTGTAAGACCAATATAATTAGCAGTTACTAATAATATAATATTGAAAACGTTATCAATAAATTATCTGTGGCTATGTCTACCTGATTTATAGTAATGGATGAATTTAAATCAATATCAATGACAACATCTTTTCTTAAATCAATGTCATGTAGAATGTAGATGATTTTTCTAAGCTATAGCAGTAGAATCAAACTAATATCACTCTAACATTTGAACAAATATACTCTAATACATAATTTGTATAATTAATACTATACTACAAATAATGTATATTTAGGGTGTAAAAGTTAATAATGCAGATTAACACCTCTTTTAATAATTTTTTTCAACATTGATTTATTTACATAAATGTAATAGGTTATACATTTGGTCATACATTATTATGTGTTGAATAAATAACTTATTCTGAGTGGAGGGATGAATGTCTTATTGTACAAAGATGTGAATTTATTTTTGTGTATCTGATTATACTTTTTGGAGCAGAAATAATGCTTTGATTTTCGATTTTAGCACATTTTATTTTAGGAAATTAAATCTAGTTTGTACTTTCAAGAGGTACTATTTTCTTATGGTTTTAATTTTATTTATAACATTTTTTTGTGGGTTTTTGTGTGTTTTCAAACTATCTAAAGTAGAAAAAACTTGTAAACGTTTTTTTCCAGTACATTCATATGTACTAGACGGCTTTAACTCAGCGGTAGTACTTTAAAATGGACCACCGATGTTGATAACGATGAAAATTTAGATTTACAGATTGAACAAATTGTTTCAAATTGATTTACCCTCATAGAATTTTCAACTAAATAATAAGGTACCTAGCCATATAGGAACAATTTGTAGTATATATCATATTAAATTTAACCTTAAATTAGGAACCTACCTACGCCTATCTACTTATGTTTGCTAAAAAATATGTAAATTACTGTATGTATATAACAAGTGTATAATCATAACAGTATAAAATTAAAATTAAGTAATGTTGACACATTCAATCTATTCTAAAATACTTGATTAAGATATTTTTAAACTCTTGTATATTAAAATAAATGTTGAATGCAGTGCTCGGAATGGAAAACTTTCTGAACTGGAAAGCTATATATTATTATTAAATACATGTAGATTTATTATTAAAATTACAATTTTTGTCAATAAATAAATATTTATTTACACAATAAAAATAAAAAAGTATAAAAAAATTAGTCACATAAAAATTAAAATTGTAATTACGTAACCACGATACATATAATATAACCTAAGTATTAATTATTAATTTATTATAATAACGTCCACAATGGTTCATACTTATTAGCTACTTTTTTTTCTCTTTCACGGTTGTCAGGGTCATCAGCGGCAGTGGCGTATTTGAGACTTCACCTAGGGGGGGGGCGATATTAAGAGGAGTAAACCGCCCTACCAATTAAAAACATTTTTTTTAGACATATAAAAAAACAAAGCATTTTTATTATTTAATTTAGCACTTTTATTAAAGAATTTTTATTACAAAACAAAATCTATATTTCTTTTTTTAAGACTTGTGAATCGATCAATTACATTTTTAGTTGAAGATTTCAAATGTACTACTGAATACTGATTTAACTTAAAAACATGTTGTGGTTTTAATGGTTTTATAAATATTATTTTACTTTACAAGAGAAAATGAATGAATGTTTGAAATGTTTCACATGAGATAATAGTTTTTATTTGATTTTAGATTAAAAAAAATTAATTTAAGCCTTAAGGATTTTAGAAAAATTTTAATCCAAAAAACATAATTTGTTGATTGCATTTATTATAATTAAGATATGTCTACTTTTGATTTTATATTTTATGTTATGCAAATGGTCTTTTTATTCCAAAATAAGTATACAATTTTAGTCAAATATTTTACTTTTATATCTACTTAGTTGGTATACAATTTAAAACAACTTGGAGAACTGTCAACTGTGTACATTTTTTTCTTCCCATATATATTTAAATTAAAAATATTTACTTGATTCGCAGTCATTTGAATCCAATGTGCCTTTACAAGATGTGTTTTTAAATTTGTCACACTTGTCTTAAACGAATACTTTCTTTTACAAATGTCGCATTTAGCTAAACTTGTGTCATCAATCACAGTAAAATGTGACCAAACATTACTCGATTTTCTATTAAAATTCATTTTAATATACAAAATATAATAAAAGTATAAAATACAACAGTCGGAGTTAAATTGAAAGAACTCAACATCTGAACAAGGAATGAGGTTTGGATTTGGTTTTCGATTCTTATAAAGTAAACCATTAAATTGTGACCATAATCACTAAACTGACATAATTGACTTAGGTAATAGTTAAAGTGTATTAGTTTATGTTTTCCAAGTATCAAAATTTAATACTCTTTAATGGAGGA